ATTCCATGTTTTTTGGTAATGAGATCTCACAATCATTAAGTTTCTCAAGTATTCATATACTTCTTCTGGAAGTTAATTCACTGTAGGAAACTATTCCAGTTCAAAATTCTTATGAATTATAATCACTTGTATTTTTCATCTCTATAAATTTAAATTTTGTCATTTTCGAGAATTTTTATCATTGAAACCTATCGTTCTACGTATTGAGTAAATTAATGCATAGGTTATAACATTCAAACAACTTTATTTTTTCTCAAATTTCTTCTTCCAAAATCGTCAAACAATACCCAAAGCAGCATTAATAGCAACCAGGAAAATCCCTAAGATGTGTGTATTCAAATGGTTGCGGGAAGAAAGAAGTCCCCAAAACTTTCACACATTTTTGGTACTCAACTATAGCCTGTCTCACTAACCCGGCAGACTCCGAAACATTCCGCCCAAGCATTCATTGCAGTAGGTTTTTGCAACATTATTGTGTGGAGGATTTTTTTTTTCTTTTTTTATTACTAGTTTTTGTGTGTACAACTTAGGAAGGTAAATAGAGATAATAGTATTCTTTTTTGTAGTTGTCTTTAAAAAATGTATCCATTGATACGATAATGTCTCATTAAATTGATTACTTTTTTCAAACATAAATACAGAGATCCTTTTCTTTGTAAGGTTGCAATATTTACTTCACAGGATACTATATATATGTATCGTTTTTATTATACATGTTTAATTCTATAAGTATCGACTTTTATTTAATTTGGAACGAAGGTAGTACAACTGGGGGGGAGTGGTGTACTTTCTTATTAATTAATCAACGGAATGTGGACACAAAATTATGCATTGAAGTAACTTATGATCCCATTTGGTGACGAAGTGCGACACATTCGTGTTGTTACTGACTAAGATTCAAAATTGCATTTTTTTAATTAGAAGCGGTTCATGTATACACATTAAATTATGTGTATTTTCATGATCTCCATGATTTTGTTTATGTTTTCTCGGTAAAAATCTTCATTCTTTACCATTACATTTCGTGTTTTCATTCATCGAAGTACAAATATATGCTGTCAATTCCGACACCGAGTCTTCTGTTTTGTAATTCTGTAACACTTAATGTAATATAACAACAACAATAATAATCATTTTTCTCACTAGGGGGATCGGCTAACACTTCATGTAATACTGTGTCAAATCATGATAAGTGTCTTTTCACTTATCCCACCTTAATCATCTCTAACTCAAATTAACTAAAGCTTATTCAACTATCATTGGAAAACAAAAATTAAAATCCTGACTTCCTTTTATCATAACTAAATCCCGAAAAAAAAAAAAAAAAAGTAAAAATTAATCTACTAATCGGGAACCTAAAACCTTAGCTGTCGCTTTCAAGGAGAAAATCTTTCTAGAAATCCCTGTCGTTCTACAACACCTTGATTACTCTTTCAAACTCAATTAATGGGTTCCAACCCTTTTGTATTGGAGAAAAGCGGAAATTGCAGTTTTTGACATGTAATGACTTCAAAAATGAAATCACGGTGACGCCTTTCGGTGATGATGGTGCACGAGTGGCAACGGTGGAAGAGAAGAAGAAAATTGATCATCTGAGAAGGAAATAGTTAATTTGCCTAAATCGATTTGTAGTTATGCGGGAGAATATTGTAAGTCACGTGATTATTAATTCTGAAGAAATGTAAAAAGCTTGAGATTGGGATTCTTTAAGAGATTCGGGTTCTAGTTGAAGTGATGATGAATATTGGGTTTAGACATGAATTGTCTAGTGTTTAGGCTCAAACTATAGATGGTTTTATTTTTATTTATTTTTTATTTTTTATAAAAGGAAGTCAGACTTACATTTTTATTTCCTGAAATTGAATTTGGATTACTTAACTTTGGGATGATTGACGTGGGTTAAATGAATTGACACTTTGTCACGATTTGACCATTTCGAGAATTTCCCCTCCAAACTCGTGTACAAAATGAGCAGATATTCGCGATTAACAAAAAGTAAGCCAGAAAAATTCATATTCAAGAATCAATTCAAACTCTAGAAACTTTCTCATTTAATCCCTCACATCATGGGTCCATGACAATAATATAGATTTCGTAAAAATGTAAAGAAATTATTTCGTTACAAAATTCCTTCGTCCAAAAATCATCAAAACTATTGCTGTTGAAGAACACCCAAAGCAGCGTCAGTAAAACCTTGAAAATCTTTAAGATGAGTACCCAATGGTTGCGGAAAGAATGAAGTTCCCAAAACCTTCACACATTTTTGGTACTCAAGTACAGCCCGTCTCACTAACCCGACCGACTCCGAAACACGGTTCTGAGAATACGAAATGAGGGCTTTTTCTAAATCCGCCAAGCCGCGGCTTACGAAAGTAAGGCAATCCGAGCAGTCATCCCGGAACTTGGGAGTTGCGCCGAACTCGATGCAGTCCGCAAAGTCTAACTGCAGCCTGTCGATGGCGTCCGCGGAACAATTAATGGCGGTTGCCCCGAGTTGCTTCGCGTTTTCGTTTGTGTGCGGGCCCAAGCATTGGTTGCAGTAAGTTGGTGAAGGGGTTTTGGCGCAGATTTGGGATATGAGTTTTGCATCTCCGTCTACGAGCTGGAGGTTTTGTGTGCCGGATATTAGGATGATCATAAGGCAGGTAGAAAAGCCAAGAAAATTAAGTCTAGCCATTGTGAAAAGAAATGAATAAGTTGGCAAGTGTTTCTTGTTTGTTTTGTTTTTCATTTTGCATGTTGGATGGAGTTGTTTATATAGACGATTAATGATGTCAATCAGGCAAAGGGATGTTAGGAGTAGAATGAAGATTTTGGAATTGTAATATTTTTAAATTAGAGAATATTTTGCTTCAATGGCAACTAAGCATAAATATCGGGTGAACTAATAATTCTAGATACGGATGTTCATTTGATGATAGGATTAATAATAATAATCAACGAAATCATGGGGGAGTTGAAGTTACTTATGATCCGATGTAATGATTGCAATATAATTACGAAGCCGAGATTCAAAATTATGAAAGAATTCTCGGGTCTCGTTGCTTATTTTGAGGATTCAGTCCTGTTAAAATTTAACCAACATGAAAGTGACACATCAATATCATATTAAATTTTCTTAATTTTTTAAAATTTTTTGTGACCTGCTAAGCAGGTAACCAAAATTTAAAAAATTGAATAATCTAGAAAAGTTTCAATATTTAAAACAACAAAATTATCGTTAATTAATAATTAATTTTTCTTTTTTCATTGTATGTATTGCATAAATACTCATATATGATTGCACATTAGTTTATAAAACATTGCATTATAATTAATTAATAATTAATTGCACTATATTTTGTTTCGCTTTATTTTTATAGTACGTTAATAATAAATATTCAAGCATTGCACTTTTAAGGATACAATTACACATTCAAGAAAAAAACATTACACGTTCACTTTCAAACCATTGCATTATATCAAAACTTTCCATAATTTTTAATTAAAATTTTTTATTTTATTTTTATATTAGAAAAAAATCTAGGTGTGTAATTGTGCATTTGCTCATTAAATATTGTACCTATATTTATAAATAATAATTGCACACTAGCTTAAAAACCATTACACCATTTTTTATATAAGATTTATTTAGTAATTTAGTTTTTCTGTTTAGAATTTTCTTATACATAAGTGCACATTGACTTAAAAAACATTGCACTATTTCTTATATAAATTTTATTTAGCAATTTTATTTTTCTATTTATATTCTTCTTATAAGCCTTACTGATTGAGTTTTTTTTTTTTTAATTTTTTTTTTAACAACCGTAGTCATAGTTTCTCGGTATTAAGAGGAGCGGGAGCCTCAATGCAAACAACATATTCTCGCAATTTGAAAAGGCAAGATTATTTACAACATCTGCTAAGTTACTAGTAAGAGAATCTAACCATAGAGCATAACCCAAATATCAGCTCATTCGACGCCAGTTTTTTTCGTATAATGCTTCTTTATGTACTTATGAAGCAAAGTTTCTTTCAAAATCAACCAGAAAACAAATAAAAGTAAAAAGTATATTGCTCTCGCTAATTGAGCCTGTAGTTGGGAAATTATCAAATCTTATGCAGCAATTGAAGACGTAAATTAGGAAACATTAAATTATATATACTATAAATAATTTACCGGTTGCCGGTCACATACACTTTTAATAATTTTATTCCTTTAATGCAAATTCTATGGCTGTGATTGATTTAATATGATCCAATGACTGTTTATTAAATAACACCATATTCTTAAAATTACGGGACTGTAGCTTAACAATCTTTTTTTTTATCCCTCGTAAAACTTACCATCCTTAATTATAAAAGGTTCATGTAACGACTAAAAAAGTTACTCATGCAAATTAATAGTTTAAGAAGTATATATATACGGTATGTAAATAAGTATGCAAACAGTTTATAGAGGGTTGTAAGACTTGAGAATATTCTTTCTCATTAATATTATGATAAGATCAAATCATGATATTGAATGTAATTTAATATTGATATATTGTGTAATTAAGTGTAGTTAAGTGTAGAAATTACCGTTGCATATAGAGTTTTCATTGTATACAAATACCACATTCATATTGTACTTTAATAGAACAAGAAATATATGTCAAATTTCTAGATGTTCATTTCCTCTCTTTCAAGGGTAGTTTTGAAAAAGACAAATTTTTCATTGAAATGTGAAAAGATCAATTATTTTGGAATTTTTCTAATTCTCTAAAATGACTCTTATTTTGGAATGGATGGATTATATACTTTAAATTTAAATTTGTTATGTTCATGATCTCCACTATTTTGTTTTTGTTTTTCTTTTTTTTTTTTGGGGGGTGTAAAAATCTTCTTTCTTTATTATCCTTGAATGTCGTGTTCTCTGATTCAGTTCACAGTACAAATTCATTGAAACCACGATTAAGTTGCCTATAAATTACCTTAACTAAGCTACCATCAATAAGATCCCATCCGCTATAAATCATAATAATACATCCCTTTAGTACTACTGCTAGCTAGAGAAAAAGTACAACATGTTGAGATTTAGCGTAATTCTATCCTTATCAAGCTTCCTCATTGCCACAAAATGCCTCCATGTGACTGCAGATCAAGCCTTAATTGATGGGATTTGTAGGAAATCACCTCAACCCGCCTTCTGCCAGTTATGCATGCGAGAAGACCCGAATCGCCTCTCCATGGACGCGATTGGGCTCGCCCGACAATCCACGGATTGTTCCATCTCAAAAAGTGTTAAAGTTAGTGTAGATTTTGACTTCATTTCCAATAGCACCGTTGATAATTTGATTAAAGATGTGTGCCTTAGATGCCAATTTTTCCTTGGAAATGCTATGAAGTCTCTACAAGCTGCGCAGCGTCATTTGGATGGCAGACGTTTCAAAGATGCCGCCAATGCGGCGGCCGGAGCCGGTGATAATCGCCAGAAATGCGCCGACTTGATTTCGGGTGGCTTCCCAGTTGATAACGTCTTTAATATTGATTTCGAGATTTTGAAAGAGTATTATGTAAATGCACCTGCAATTATTTCTCAGTTAGGGTAATTTCAAGGGAATTTTGTCCGAATGATAAATTGATTTATAATAACGTTTTGCATGCCATTTGAGTTTCACCTTTGTTTTTCTTCCTGCCAAAAATCTTAAATAATTGAATTCACAAATACGAATAATGGGCGGGGAAGAAGAACAGAAGGATTGAAATGTTGAATGACTGTAAGGTTTGGTTTATATATATGAACCGGAACTGGTCATACCCATTAGATTTATCCACATTAGTCTGAGTTAAAACATTGTTTTGCATTTAAAGCTGAAGTTATTGTTGGATTGGGTAAGAGTATTGATACAGTTTCTTTGGATCAGTAAGTGAGTCAAAAGGCTAAAATTTATGTTAATACATTATTTTGGTAAAAAACATCAATTATGTAGATCATCCAATATTATAATGTTCTCGTTCAATCCCCCTAATTCATGGTACTGCTTTTGTCAACACCCTTACACATTGCAACAAAATGGTCTCCTATAGACAATTCTCGAAACTCAGTAAACCTTTGTGAGTTGACTTCTTGTGATGATTTTGTTAAAATTGCCAATATTTTCCCATCAATAATGACTGCACAATTCTATTTCCGTTGGACGAAGTAATTTTTTGAGATACCTTCCCAGTTCTGTTTGGAGTATATCTTTATATCTATATAGGGAAGTAAATATCAAGATATATATATGAAGAACATTCATTGTTGGCGTGATTAATGGAAGAGAATTAGGATAAGATATGATGATAGGATTATTTGATTTTATTTTGTTGTTAATTTGGTGATTTAATTTTGATATGGTTGCTCGTGTAATTTAGGAGAAGAACTTACCCTTATTGTTAGTGATGGAACCAGCGTAGGGTCGACCATAACTAATTTTCTTTTTTTCCGAAAATTATTATATAAAAAATTTAAGATATTTTTCTTTAAAAAAATGCCGGCCGCAAGGTCGACGGACCCCCTAGATCCGTTCCTTATTGTATAATTTCATACTTATGTAGCTGAATAAAAAACACAACTTTCGAAGCTTTCTGTGATTTCTAAACAAACACTAGTATTACTCTTGTTTTTGAAACAGATCATGAAACTAGCGCATCCGGACCAGTTGGATGGAGTTATGTTCTAAGAGGTAATTGTTGAAATTTATGTATGTGTTAAATGATTCCTTCTCTCAAAATTTCATAGGATGTATTTACCAATTTACATTGAGAACGACTGTTTAGAAAATAAAGAATTTGGGAAAAACTCAACAAAGGCACACAGCTAAAGGTAGATAGAAAATACTCGGGTGAGAATGTAAACTCAGCCTGCCACTTAATTAAACTCAACCGAAGGGCCTTAATAATTAAGGTAGAGGCACTTTTGACTTGAATTTTTCTTTTGGTTTTGGTATGCAGTTGATTAAGCAAAATCCAGAAAGTAAATATTGGTTGATTTCTTTAGCTTACTTGACAAAAACTTGCAAAATGAGTTCCCTGTTAGAAGTAAGAGGAATCCGTAGGACTTACTTCTCCGATGGCGACACCAACAATGGAGCAGGATTCGCGTTATTCAATGGGTGATCAAATACTGTAATCTACATCTTGCAAATTAAAAGTAAACCTATTTAAATCAATAATATTTTCGGCCTTATAACAACAAATAATAGACAAAAGAAAATTTTGTAAAAATAAAAAAAATAATTATTTTTGCCTATCAAACAAATTCTTTAAAAGAAGCCCTACGATTTACTTCTCTCATCAGTGTATAACTATATCCTTCAAAGATTTCTAGTTTGAGCCAACTTCTCTCATCAGTGTATAACTATATCCTTCAAAGGTTTCTAGTTTGAGCCAATAAAATAGGGTTATTAACTAAAGGCGAACTTGAGACCAGCCATGTCCCTGAACGCCGCCTGTAGTTCGGCGGCTAATAGTTCATCCGTAGGCACCGCCGGCACAAAGGAGTTGGAGATGATTGTAGCCGGAGAACTTGTAGTTAAACTCACAAACCGTGATCTACGAGAAGACGCGCTTCTCGAACTCTGTAAGAGGAAAGAAATCTTCCCAGATTTAGGGCCATTGATATGGAACACTGCTGGAACTATTGCAGCCCTCCTTCAGGAAATCCTTTCAATTTACCCGGATTTGTCTCGTTCTCAAACCCTAACTCTTGCACGGTCAACTAGGGTTTGCAATGCCGTAGCTCTTCTCCAATGTGTGGCTTTACATCCAGACACAAGGATGCCGTTCTTAAGGGCTAATATTCCTTTATATCTCTACCCTTTTCTCAACAACATGAACACCTCCACGCCTTTCGAATACCTAAGGCTTGCGAGCCTCTCCCTCATCGGAGCATTGGTGAAGGATGATGATACTGAAATCATTCGTTTCCTACTCGATAACGAAATTTTCCCCTTGTGTTTAGGTAGAATGGAGAATGGTGGTGGTGAATTGTCAAAAGAAGTTGCTATCTACATTGTACAAAAGATTTTGTCGACTGATGTAGGGTTGGATTATGTATGCGTGAACGCAGAGAGGCTTTTGTTCTTCATCCGTGTCCTTGGAAGTGTGGTTGGTGAACTTGTTAATGAAAGACCTTCTCTAAAGATCTTAAAACGTATCATTGGGTGCTACCTTCGGTTATCCGATAACCCAATGGCTTGTGAAGCTCTCCGAGTAGATGGTCTCCCTGACGTTCTCAAAGATGACACTTTTAATGGTTGCCTCCGTGAAGATCCGTCAACAAGAAAATATCTGCTCGAGTTGCTTTACAGAGTCCTAGGTCTTCCGGTTCCCTTGCAAAATTGGGACATGACACAGGTTCGATCATATGCTCGTTAGCTAAAACATATACGCGGTATGTCTCAAAATGATTATTTTATTTGTCGTATTAAAAATATTATCAACAATTCGAAGCAATGTTGTTTAGTATTTTGGCCTTTAAGAGACTGCTTTACTTTTATGTATGTTTAGGATATTTTAATAAGGGTGCCAAAGATTTTTCTGCTCTTGGAGTCTGGTTTGTACACGTTTGCTTTTATATCTATCACGAGCTTTTCGACCATTTTCAAAAACAAATTATAATCTGCTTCAATATTCATATTGATGAGTCACAAATCAAATAGGATGGAAGGGAGACTAATGACTGGAGACTAGACTTAACCAGACTGGGATTGTAATTGGAAGTAAACACGCACATTTTGTATAAGCAATTTTTCTTAGTCTTAGCGCAATATGACTCATATCTATATGTGCCTTTGGATCTTAAAATTTCATGTCCTTAATCATTTGAGAATCATGCTTTTTATTGTTCATATACCTTTTTTGCATTTTTAATACAGATATTAACGTCCCTGATGCATAATTATAATCACTCAAATTGTTGAGTGCATCGGCGAAATGGAAAAATAAATAATTAATGGACGGCGTGAACAAATTAAAGGGAGAGGATGTAGATTTGTTGTACGCATGATAGTCCTTTGTTCTAAAATCTTTTTCTTTTTTTTGGGTACACGTGACGGAGGGAGTAACTTTTCCCCTAAAAGGTTATACATTTCTCACTTAACTTTGTATTTGTTTTTTATATTACGCACTCGGTGTTCGAAATCATTGTTCCGATTAATCCGGATTCGAGTCGGGTAGGTCTCTATTGGGAGGCAAAACTTTCCCAACAAGTATTTTAATCACTGCTACATTCCTATGCTCGAGTTCGAACCCAAATCATAGTTAACCTGGCCCAATACCTTTATCACTTAGACCAAATGCTTGCTGGCCCAATACCCGAAATTGTATTTTTCAACTTGCAAAAGCTATTGATTGATGCTAATATATTATTTACCATATTGGTCAATTAATGTGGCTATTTTATTTGAGAAATAAATAAATCTCATTCTCCAACCTGTGAACGCACAGGTCATCCATCCTCCATTTTTAATTTGATAATTAAGCTGGTTTTAGAATATTAGTTATTACTTTGACACTTTTTTTTTTTTAAAAAAAAATGGTTTGACCTAGCGAAAATCGAACCTCGACTTCAATAATAACCATTTCCATCCTAATCCCCTAACCACCCTTATAAATATGAAAGAAAACAATAATACTCATTCTGCCCCGTCCCGAAATGATTAATCAAAAGTAAAAAATTAATCAGGACAATAATTTTGCAACATGAGAACTACGTTGATAGGCACACAGAAATTCGTACAAATTCCTCTTTTTTCTTCTTTTCCATATAAATCAACTAAGAGTTATTTTTCAAATACCAAGATGGCTCAAATTGGACTTGTAACCAATGTCGTTAGACCCGGACCGGAAGACGAGTCGGTAAAGTTAAGGGGTCACTGGGTCAACCCCGTTAGCCCGGGACAAAAAACCGGATGAGACCGATATGACGTACATCATATATAATTTTTAAATTTTAAAAAATATGTGAAATCCAAAGTTATTAGTATTAAAATATTATTTTAATGATAAAATTTTGGTGCAATAAGCCTTAGCGACCAATTTATTTTCAAAAATTGTAGTAATCATTACGAAAGTCTATAATCAAATAGTTAATGATGATATTATGTTGTCACTAGTATGACTTTTGTGTATTAATGATCAAAAGTTGTCACTATATTAAAATAATTTTAATTACCCAATTACCAATAAATAATAATAATTAATTAAATAGAAACGCTCATTAAAACTGAAGCAAATATTTTTCACTTTGCATTAACTAAACTCAAGAAATTTAAAACTCAAACGTGATGTATAAAAGTTGTACTAGTCAATTATTCCGCTTCTAATGATTTGACACTATTAACATCATTTACATTTTCTTGTTAGATGTATCATTAACAAATGATGAATTGACCAATTGCAATGGTAAATTCATTCCCGACCATGGTCCTCTACATCTTCTAAGTCCACTAAATGTATTTTTGGTTCTTCTTCTTGGTCAATTTATCAACTAAAATCCTCATCTTCTGGGTCTAGAAGATCGTAAGAGTTTCGAAGATTAGATTTCCGGACAACAAACTAATTGCCACCCATTTTAAGATCTTTCATATAAAAAAGCTTGTTAGGCCTAAATTGCAAGAATATAAAGTTGATCCCTATACCATTTATTGGAAGAATTTACACTGATCCTTCCTGATTCTTTATCAATTTGGATACCCAATGAATCACCCATATTAAACTAGGCGCACTTGAATACAATCAATTTTCTTTTTCCTACGAGGTATTCAACCTCAATTATTTCTTGTAGAATACCATAAAAGTCGATCATGTTATTCCCGTGCATATCTTGAACAACCACACCACTATTTTGCGTATTCCTTTCTTTTTCACGGCATTGATTGTGGAATCTGTACCCATTCACTATGCAACCAGTGTAGTGCCTAACTCAATCATCTGGTCCTATTGCTAAGGATCACATTTTTTCATTTGAAGATGTTATCTATAAAAATTAAAAAATGAAATTTTTTTCTTTTCATAACATGACATGCAACAATGTTTAGAATAAACATAAATAAAAATTGTAAGTAATTTCCCTTACATGATGGAGAAACCAAAAGAACATTCTTGTTCATGCCTTTGATCTATGTTAGCAAAATATTCTTCTTCGAGCTTTTCTTTATGCTCCTTGAATTAATATGACATAAGGTTATTAGCTTATGTAAGGCATTCAAATTATAATAAAAAATCAATTATGATGAAAATAAAAATTTTACTCACAGGACATACTCTTGAACCTCATAAAAAATGTTTAGCACGTATGATGTATTTTGTCTAAAGCTGACTCAGCCAAGACTCCTAATATTGCTTCACCAAATGGTCGTCTTGTGCATGAGAATACAACATATTCTCCCCCAGATGCTGGCCTTTCATTGTTCCGCTCAACTCCGTTAAACATAGTGTCAACATCGTTCAAATACATCGTGCAAAAAGTCAGACATTCCTTAGATGCATGTTCGTTTTACGTTTTAGATCCTTTAAGTCCTTTTGAGATTTCCGCGTGCCCTTTGTTTTACCAGGAATGTCCATATGATTGTGCCAACAAACTCTCAGCTATATTTTGAATTACATTCATAATGTCAATGTTATGTCTCACTTTCAGATATGACCAATATGGCAACTCAAAGAAGGCACTTTTCTTTGTCTATTTTACATTTTATTAGTTTTGTACTTTTGGGCATGCAGAGTATCCTTGAGTTCTCCAACCAGAAAGGATAACATAAGTAGGGAAGTCATTGATTGTCCATAGCAACGAAACACGCAATGTGAAACTTTCCCTTTTATAAGCATCATAAGCTTTAACTCCATTCCACAACACAATTAGTTCATCAATTAAAGGTTGTAAATATACATCAATATAATTTCCTTTGGATTTAGGGCCATGAATTAACATTGACATAATTGAAAATTTATCTTTCATCCATTTCCATGTTGGCAAATTATATGGGACAAGAAACACAGGCCAAATTGTATATGCATTTCTCATATTGAACGGATTGAATCTATCAGAGATAAGGCCTAACCTTATGTTACGGGGGTGATTCGCAGAACGTAGGTGGACCCTAACATTTATCTATATTACTGTCTGTATGGTGCCGTATGACATTGTCATCTCTAAGATTCTGTTTTTCCTCCCCTAGCCACTTACTTCTTCATGAAAAATGTACGAAGTTTTGGTTTCAAAGGAAAATATCCAAAAACTTTACGAGGCACTTTTGAATTCTTTGATTGATACCTTGGTTCTTTGCATTTTTCACTAGGACAAAATGGTATAGTGCTCATACTCCTTACGATAAAGAACACAATGGTGGACACATGCATGGATCTTCTCATATTTGAAACCCAAATGATGGTGGAATTGAAGCTTCAATAGGAAGAACTTCATTAAATACTCCAACGACGCATCGAAAGAGCTAATCGTCCAACCTTACATAGTCTTCATATGAACTAGAGTGACAATAAATGATAATTTGGTGTAGTTTTTCCACCATGGGTGAAGCTGCTTATTGATTTTTTCCAATAATCTCATAATTCCATCGACGTCTCCGCCATCCATATTATTTTGATTCATATCATCACTCATCCAATTATCTCCAAAGTATCATATCCAAAATATTTTTTTATGGCTCTAGCGAGAAGCGAACTCTTGACCTCTTAGTAATAACCATCCTTCATCATAGTGCCCAAACCATCCAAAATCATGTAACATTTCTTTTAAGTTGTCATGTTCACTATCACCCAGTAGTAAAAGCAAATTCCAAAAATTCCTTTACACATTGTAAATAACATTCATCCATTCTATCTTTGATTTGCATGCAACTCTTATCCATTGCTTGAAATAGTTATCCCAATATAAATATATTCGAGAAAAAAGATCAAATTAAATTTGAAACAAGACATAAACACAAACACATGGTGGGCATTTTTGGAGACTAACTATGGGTAGTTTTAAATATGGCAATATAACAATCTTTACATTTTTAAGTTAAAAGGTTTAATCAATATTTATATGATCGATCTAATACACTATGCTTTTCTTGTCATATTCACCATTAGATTGGTATAAACACAAACACGTGGTGGGTATTTTTGGAGACTAACTAAAAATTTCAACACAATGCATTTGATAGAACTACATATTAAAATAACAAATATACTTGTCTATCACATAACTAAGACTTATGTGAATGATTCTGAATAGATGATTGTATTTTTCTCAATTCTTGAACGTGGTTCTTCACTGTGTCTGGCAAAACGTTTTTAATAAAAGTCTCCAGTTATGAAGTGAAGGAAGATATTCTATTCTTTACAATGAAAAAAGAAGTTATTCAGTAATCTTT